TTTTTAAGTCACTACGGAAAAGATTTTATAGCCTAATTCTTTCACCATTGGTCTCCCCATAATGACTGAAATGGGTTGTTACAAAAAATGTTTTCCCTCGCGCATAGATGTTTGATGAATAGATAGCCCTGAACAAAATACTTGATCAGATGGTGTGATTGTCTTCCCACACTACTGTGGTGTATCTGGTTAGTATTGTCTGAGTGATCATAAATTTAGTTAAAATTACACTACTTATTTGTATTTCATCATGCTAATTACCTATCTTCTTTTGAATGACGCCAAAAGGGGAAAGTTGGTTACATTGTACAGGAGTGGTGCATGATGATATGTGGCATGAATGAAATAATTTTTGCATTGTTTGTCATCATCAAAAGGAGAGAAATTGTTGAAAAATGGGATAGTATGTATGTAGTTATGATGATTGACAAAGTGAACCTTATTTACTAATTTTTTGTCTTATGCATACTTACCAGGTGAATCAGCAACTAGGTCCCCAAGACGCGAATGCAAATAGCTTGTACAAATATGGAAGATTGCAGCAAGGGAACAAATAAATTGTAGAAATAAAAGTGCGTAAAAGAAAAGAAATAAATAGCTCAAATAAAGGATCAAAAAAAGGAAAGGAATAAACAAATAAAGAGCAAAAGTAAAATCCAAAGAGGATTCAAAGTTTCCTAATAGGATGAAACTTTTTTTAAAGATGAAAATTCAAAATTTCTTTTATCTTCAGTGTGTATATATTTCGAGAGAAACAGTCAACAACAACATACCCAGTGAAATCCCACTAGGTGGGGTCTGGGGAGGGTAAAGTGTACGCAGACCTTACCACTACCTCGTGGAGGTAGAGAGGCTGTTTCCGGAAGACCCTCAGCTCAAGTGTAACCAAGCCAAGTAAAGGAAGAGAATTATATAAAGCATAACATCCAATAAGAAAAATAGTGCATAATCAACAAAGGGGGCAATACATCAAGAAAATAATGTGAGAAGTGAAACGCAGTAAACAACATAAGGCTATAGGAATCACAGACAATAACTACAAGTGTAAGGCTAAGACTACTACAAACGCTAACAACCCATACCCTCGCCAGGAAAGACAACACGCTAACCCTACTAGCCTTCAACCTTAATACGTGACCTCCACTCCTTCCTATCTAGAGTCATGTCCTCGGTAATGTGTAGCTGGGCCAAGTCCTGTCTAATCACCTCTCCCCAATACTTCTTGGGCCTACCTCTACCCCTCCGCGTACCCTCTACTACCAGCCCCTCGCACCTCCTCACTGGGGCGTCTGCGCCCCGTCTCTTCACATGTCCAAACCATCTCAGTCTCGCTTCCCTCAGCTTGTCCACCACAGAGGCCACTCCCACCTTCTCCCGGATAACCTCATTCCTAATCTTATCGCTCCTAGTGTGCCCACACATCCATCTCAACATCCTCATCTCCGCAACATGCATTTTCTGAACATGTGAGTTCTTGACTGGCCAACACTCCGCTCCATACAACAAGGACGGTCTAACTACCACTCTGTAGAACTTACCTTTAAGTTTAGGCGGGATTTTCTTATCACACAAGACTCCAAAGGCAAGCCTCCATTTCATCCAAGCAGCCCCAATGCGATGTGTGACATCATCGTCGATGTCACCACTTTCTTGGATTACAGACCCAAGATACTTAAAACTTTCTTTCTTAGGAATGATCTGTGTGGCAAGTCTCACATCCACATCTACCTCATCCAATGCATCACTGAATTTGCACCCCAAATATTTGCACCCCAAATATTCTAGAGAAACAGTCATTGGAGAAAAATTGCAGGACTTCGTCACAACAATAGTGGAACTTGTTTCACGAGTTGTGTTTGAGTCTATACTATTAAGTACTAAAGTTTGATTAGTTGAAGACGAGAGCTATTGGTCTTTGTTGAGCTCACCAGTTGGAGTAACTTGATGAGTTATTTTGTGTGATGTTTGGGTTGTTAAAGGTTATGGCTATTCTTTATTGAGTTGTTCTATGGTTATTATTGAGTTGTATTGAAGTTAGTAGTTGTGTGAGTGAGGTTTGTAACAAGAAGCCAGTTTTACTTATTTGAGAATAGTTAGAACATTTCAAGTTAACTGTTTAATTGAGGCATTAGAGTTAGTCCTTAAATTGTTGAGTTATAATCTAAAATAGTTCTTTCAATGTCTGTAAAAGATGAGGCAACACAACATGTGTTGAATCATTTTGAAGAGTTGTTGGCAATCAGAAGACAATCAAGAACGATCAGACACTACGACTGTGGAATAAAGTCTTTAGCAGCATTTATATATAAAGTGTTAGTTATAAATATCCATATTTATTATTGACATTAAATATAATATAGTGACAACTATTTTATTACCGCTAAATCTTTTATAATTGTAGTGAAAGTTCAACAAAAGATTAAACAAGATAATCTCAACGCTACTCACTGCCTAAGAGAGGCAAATAAAGTAGTGGGTCATTTGGCAAAGCTAGAAATGAATAATCAGAATAGCTCTTTTTTATTTTCTATAACATCTTTTGAAGCACACATAATGGGAAAATAAGGGATGTGAATTCACCACAAGGCACCATACCAAAACAATTGAAACAAGTGTTAAAAGGAAAATTATGTCCATCTTTTTTTTTAATATTTTGATGTATCTTAATTCCATTATAAATTAGTGTAAAAGCAGGGTTTCCCTTATTTATGTTGGATATGACAAAATGTAAATAAGAAGAGTCGTCGTCCTATGTTAGTCGTTAGGTTTGCATATATCCTACGTACCTGACCCTCTGTATAAGATGAGTCTATACTCTCTAGCGATGGGGAGGCAAAGTCATAGTCCTCCTCTTATGTTTATTTTTTTATTTTTTGAATGAAAATATTCAAGGTGGGAGTCAATGACAAAGCCCTGTGACGACATGCTAGTACAAAGTGTGGGATTGACTTTCATTACAAAAGGAACTTGTAAAGTTCCTATGTCAAAACTATTGAATCCCTTTTACATGTAGAATTTTATGATATAACATTCTAAAGGTTTATAGTTTGACATGTACGTGTGCTTTTCCATTTTTCTGGAAACATTACTAATTTATAATAATAGATAGATGGTAATAATCTTTGGGTGAAATATTTAGAAGATATTTTTGAATTTAAATAAGAGAAAATGGTCTAAAAAAAACCCCAAACCTATACCCAAAATCCCAACTACACCCTCCAACTTCACGGGTGTCCTATTACCCCCCCTGAACTTCATATTTCTCTATTTCTACACACTTAAATGATGACCTGTCATAGTAGGCGCGTTAGAAGGTGAGAACACCTTAAATTTTGACGAAAATTTTCTTTTTTCTCCAACGGCCATCTTCCCCCACCATTAAAATAAAACCATTGTTTCTTCTTCCCCACCATTAACCCTTGTTCCTTTATATAAAAAAATCACGATTTTCTCTCAAAAATAAGTAGGGTTTAGTTGTTTATGTTCATTTCTACATCAAATCTTGAATTTAGGGTTTGTAATCTGCTCTAATTTCTTATTTAGGTCTCTAATTTGAATTTTGAATTTTCTCGAAATTCATCAAAAATGGCAAATGAAAACTTGAATAAGCTTTGTATGGATGAATCAGACCCAATGTTGCTCTTAATTTTACGAATCAACATAAATCCTAAGGGATAAAGCAAAAACTCGAAATAAGGGATAAAAAACTAACCTTTTACTAAATCAGTTGATAAACTACGAAATCAAGTTGAAAATACACAGCAAAATCCTTCGATCATCAACAGAAATGTATATGCAAATGGAGAAGGAGATGAAAAGGAGAAAGGATATATTTTTGGGTCTTTTACATTTTATGAGGGAAATGGGGGGAAACACAGGAATTGGGAGTTGAAGAAGTGGGGGACCCGGCGCGTGCAATCACGTTGGAATATTTGTTTGGTTTATGTGTTGAGGTCAACGTTTAAGTGGGTAGAAAATAGAGAAATATGAAGTTCAGGGGGTAATAGGACACCCGTGAAGTTGGAGTGTGTAGTTGGAATTTCGGATATAGATGGGTTTTTTTGACCATTTTCTCTTTAAATAATAATAATAATAATATAACATATTATTATTTTTCAAAATAACTTTTCAACTATAGGTTGATAGTAAGTTACCCTACTACTGATAAATATACAACTCAGATTAATAAACAAGTCTAGTCATATAGTGTTCAATAAAATAGGAAGTAAAGAATACTATGATTGCAAAATAAACAACAACTGAAACCGAATTTCATTCGAATCCTTTTTATTTAGAATATACACTAAATAAGTAAATCTCTCAAAAGAGAAACACCAATTGATTACACAGTTCAATTGAGACAAGATGCAATATCATGCAATTATTGTAAAGTCAAATATGTTTTAGTTGTAGGAGAAGGAGAAGATGAGTAATGATAAACATGAGATTTCAATGGTAGTGGAGGTGAGATATAGTACTATGGTTGCCGACTAATGGGAAATGGGAATGTCGGAAATGGGAATGAAGGTAGTCGTGGCAATGGCGGAAGAACTATTGAGAGTGGAGGTAATCGTGGAAATGGCGGAAAAACTATTGGGAGTGGAGGTAGTCGTGGAATTGGTGGAAAAGCTATTGGTAATGGAGGTAGTCGTGGAAATGGTGGAATAATTATTTGAAATGGAGGAGGCGGGGACTTAACTGGAGGTGGTGGAG